GATGATACTTTTGATGTTGTGATAAAATATATTGGTTAATGTGTCGGTATTGTTTGAGGTAAAGAAAGTTCCCCAATCAGTGCTTCTTAGGTAATTGTGGAAGTTATTCCACTCAACATTGCGATAGTTTCTACGAAGTGTTACGGCTTGACTTCTATCGGTTGTGGTTTTTACATTAAGGCTGCATATGACAATGCTATGATCACTACCTGGGAACGTTTTTCCAATATACAAAGTAATGGGGATGAGGCCACTGGTAAAGACTAAGTCCAAGATGTTTTGATGTCTGGTAGGGCTATCGACATACTGAGTCCATTGTCCGAGCTCTAGACATTCAATAAATGATTCATAACGTCTCGGCGCTTTGACTGGCAGCCAAGAAATTTCGGGCATATTGAAGTCACAACAAATGAGCTTGCCTGTGAATGAGAGGGATGATGCTAGTGTGAATACCTCCGATAATACTGCTATATCATCTATTGATGCGTTAGGTTGACGATAAACACAGCCGAGCAGTAAGGTAACGGAATTCGACAGCTTTAATACAATCCACACCGAATCCTTCAGTTTGTTTAGTTCAGGCATATCACATAGTAGTGAGTTTAGGCTAGAGTGAGCGTAAAATAGGTGTAGTGACTCACATTTATCACGAGAACACGATTGGTTTATTGAAGACAATTATTATTACAACGAATTGTACCAGTGTTTGTTTTAATGTGCTTTTGTTCGACTGTGCTAATGACAGCTATATTGTGCTTCCATTCTTATTCTTACACTTTGATTGTAACTTCGCGCGAATTCGGTTACGTTCTGTAACCAAGCTTGTATCCTGGCACAATCCCGGTATCCTTTCGATGCCACGAGATCGCCAGCAATTAAACCTCGACTTAATCCATTAATTGCCTTCTGATATTTGGCTTCCCGGGGATTTTATGGAGTCATTTGGAACGGTGTTCATAGTCCAACTCCACTCGACACCACGCTACAATTGATGATCCCAAAGTCTGGAACACGCGACAAAGGCATCCTCCGCCTCGTCCATTCAATCTGTCGCTTCTATATAGGAAATAGTTATCAAGAGATATACTTTGGTCGGAAATATTACTGTTAGTCCATGCTTCAGATATCATAATAACTGATGGTTGATATATGAATACAAACAGGGCTAAATCCGTCTTTTTATTGCAGATCGATCGAGCGTTGATAAGACATATATTAAGCAAGTGGCCTACTAAGTTAAAATGGGTGAGGGTATCTCGGATAAAGTCGTCGTAACCCTCGCGGGTGTGAGATGAGTTTGAAATGATGGATTGAATGTTCTTCATTAGCTCGGTATTTTGATAGCTAGACTTAGTGGGAGATGTATAAAATGAGCTAGTGAAGTTGATTGGGGAGTTTACCCAGGAGGAAAGGGTGGGAGTACTCTGTGATGGAAACTGTACGGAGGAAACAAATTTATGGTTTGCATGTGGTTTGAAATAACCTGGGCTATATGCTTCAACAGAGGTGTCACTAGGGGTCTTATTCCAAAAAAATATTGTACAGGCCTACTGTGAAGTGTATGGTTATTTACAAAATAGTCTTGATGGTTAGACTCGTAGCCCCTGTTATGGCTATTTACGTTAGCGTGAGAGGGGTCTGCTACGCGTAACTGGGAGGAGTTGCGACTGTTGCTGTACATGGGAGCCGTTGTTATGTGATGGGTCGGTACTAAAGGGTATGAGGAGTTTTCTTTCTGAGAGTAATTACAATTGCGATCCTGGGGAATGTAGGTAGGGTGTGAAGTGAGAAACCTATTATTACCATTCTTATTTATGGTTTTAGGCTTCAGGGGGTGATTTAGGTGGGCAGTTCTCTGGTAGTTTTCGTTAGTCTGCGTGTAAGAAGGCTTGCTACGTTGAAACCCACCACCCATTTTGCAACTTAGAGGTGTTGAAGGCAAGTTATACGATAGCAGCGGGGAGAACCTGTTCACTGTTCTTGGGATATCTATAGAGCAGTTGGGTTCAATCTTACGTGTTTCCCTACTCGGTATCATGAGTTTTGTCTTCCCACCCTTTTTTTCAGAGCTGGAGCCTTTCGTTGTCTTTGTGGGATGAATTTACGTTCATTCAAGTCTACTTGTGGAATATCTTTAGGAGTATAAATTTTCAAGTGTATGGGTTTCGTTGCACGTGTGTTGTTACACGACTCACATTTTAGTACATTACTGAACGAACAGCTGGGATTAGTCATGTCGTTATGGTTTTTGGTGTCAGTTGGGGTCCGTATCTTATCCAAAGGTTTCTGATCTGTAGACTCATCTAGATCAACAGAGTGATCAGCCGTATGTGGAGTGGTGTCATGCTTATTGTTCGTGTGTTCTAAAATATTTGCTGTGTTGCAAACTGTCTCAGACTGATTATTGACTGTAACACTCCCATTCAATTCTATCGCTTCGCGTCTTCTTACACGACGTTGACAGGGCGTAAGGTCTGGAGTGACTTTTATATTTTTGTATGGAATTAGTGAGCTAATGTTTTTGCTCGAATTAATAAACTGCTTAGCATCGTTACAACAGCCAAACATAAACAAAATGGGGCAAGTGGATCTGTCTGACTTTTTTCTAAGGCGGATGACATTGCAGTTAACGTTCGGCATACCGCATGCTCTAAGGCAAATATCTCTTAACCTAGATGGGTGTGTGCGGTCGGGGAGGTTATACACAACTGCATTGAAGGAGGACATCACTCTCTTCGTCACTTCTTCAGCCACAAACTCCAAAATACACTCAGCTTTAGTGAGTTACTCAAGATTTCTGTCTGTGTCAAGGCCCCATATATGAGTGAGGGGTGCTAATTGCTCAAGTTTGCCGTTAATTTCGGATAGAGTGTTTTGCAGCTGTCGGATTTCATTACTATGTCTATCAGTATTTTGATGTGTATGAGGAGGACCATTGGACTCTTTAGTTTTTGAAATTTTAGACTTAGGCCTTGGTAGCACATACTGTCTGGTAAACTGTGCTGACTTTTCGATGCATTTAGGTATAGTGTCTTGTATGTCAACCAGTCTTACCGTTGGCATACTGCACGTAGACATAGAGGGGCTGCGACATGGAGAATCTGGTGACGATAGAGACATTTGTGTACAATACACATATTTTTCAGTAGTTAAAGGTTCGACATTGTCAAGCACTGAGTCGTCAGTTGTAGGGGTTATAGATTTGGACCTTTTATTTGGCTTAGAAGTTGGTGAAATTCCTCTTTTACTGGAGTTATTGGACATGATATGAAAATAAATGAGCACAGTGCTCGTCAAATTAAATATAATATCTGAGTATTAGTTGTTATTCAGTATTAACCTGGTTAATACTAGGATTAGAGACTGTGAGTATATAATAAATTGCTGATCTATTTACGACTTAAGTCTGCAATGTACTATACGAACTGGTAATTGTCCGTCGAATAAAAATAAGTTTTTTTCTTACCTTTCGGGGTAGTATGATAATCACAGTATAATACACCCTACAAAAGAGCAAGTCGAATAATTCCTAATACCACTTTCAAAGTTCGCGCCGAGTTGGGTTCCAAAGCTTTTTGGAGTCTCAATGGCATCTGAAATGTTATGAATACCGTCATTTTCTGTACATAAACTAACATTGGACGAAAGTATTCTTTCCATATTATGCTTTTTTCTCTTAAGTTCAGGCTCTTGTATAGATTTGATCTGGCTTTATTAGAAGAGTTTAGGAAACTGATTTAAGTGTTCAGTCAGAAGATTTGTCACTTAGGCGGCAATTACCGAAAATTCTATGTGTATTTTCATCATTATTAAATAAAGTTATAATGCAAGTAGCTCAACTGGACGACTCAGCTATCAATATTATCCGTTTCTCAACCACTTTATCTAGTTCATTCTTAACAGCCTCACTTAAACCTTATGGACTTAATCTAAGCCTCATGAAGATGAGCTCTCCCTAATTGTTAGTGCACTGGGTGAATTTTCATGCCTCTTACAGCCTTCTAACATTGTTGTAGAAGACCTTTGTTAAAGTTACTGTCAGAATCTGTACACAAACAAGTTTGTACATTCAGCAATCTTAGGCCTGTTAGCCCAGGCACAGACGTACCATACTCAGTGACTACCAAAGGAATATTGACACAACTACCATATTTTTACTCAGTGCGGCATTAACTGCATCCAAGATGGTTAACCGGTGGCCAGTGATGTCATTAATTGCACTACTTGTAGGTTTTAAATTATTAAGAAACAATAAATTCCTGTTAGAAATGATTAACTATACGCTACAATTATCAACAATAAGTGAGTGGGATTAGCCTGTTTTGGCAAATAATTCTTGCATCGAATGTGACTCATTGCTTCAGGTGGCAATGAATGATAGCAAACCCATTCTTTTGTCCAAATCAACTGGTTTTGACCCACTATCATCCAGTGTTTTAGTAGTAAACGACTTGGAACTTTGACAAATGTTTTGTCTATCTCCAATTTTTCCACACTACACCTGTTACTTCTCATGAAGGAACATAGACCACCCACCAGCACTCTCCATCCACCTCTGTACTGGGAAGTCCTTTACAGCTCTGTCGAGTTATTATTCACCTTCTTCATATCTGCTTCTATTTCCCGACGTAATATGTACTTTTGCCTTCCTCTTTTACGCTGCCCTTCAGGATTCTAAGTTAGGACTTGGTTCGTGATGAAGTTGGGTGATTTACGTAATGTATGTCTAATCCACTATCATCGTCTATTCAAATCTTCTCTTCAACTGGAAGCTGGTTTTTTCTCTCCCACAGCAGACTGTTACTGATGGTATCCGGTCAATGGATGTTGAATATTTCAAAGTTGAGCGCTCACCGTGTCTTTCATCCGGCACCGTACCGAAAAAAACAAGGAGAGAGAGCAAAGAAATCAATCGTTTTATACAACACCATGACAAAGCTATTGAGTATTGGACTGAAGAGTCAGTAACCGCGTAATATCAGAAACGCGTTGCGTTGGCGATGACGAGGTATGTTGGTTGGTGGTTGTCTATTACTGATTACGAATTAGTTATTACAAGCCCAACTGCGAGCGGTATATTCAAAGGACCAATGATTCGACGTCTCACAGACTTAAAAATGCTTACTGGACTACCAAACAAGCAGTTATTAAGAAACTGCGTCGAAAGCAAGACGAAAATATTGTAGCTTCCGACTCCGATCTCGACGCAAAGTTGGAGGTAAAAACACCCTGTTTATCACTCCTTTAGCTGTTAAAATCTGTTCAGTTGACATGTCGAGATCTTGACAATGTATTGGCACGTTATCAGAGAACGTTGTGCTGTAAGTTTTCATTATTACCCTGATGACTGTTCAGATCTGTCTCAGGCTGAAAATGAAATGGGACGATTTCTAAAACAATTTAGTTTAGAAGATAAAACACAAGCTGGGAAGATTATGTCTGCTGTCGGAAAGGCGTTAAGTAGCTCAGCACAACAAAGGTAAAACTGCGTTTTTTCTGTTATACGCTTTCGGACTCACTACAGTTTCATTAATCATTACATCTAACCAACTAACTTACGATTTCCCGAGTACACAACATTATACTTGACGTACTGTTATTGTTTAGCACCCTTGTTACATAACCACGAGCATCAGGGCAACCCTGAGACAATGTAATGAAAAAAGGCTGTTATCCGTTACTTCTAGCAAAATAATGTGCTGTGAAGAACCACATATGTGGTTGTCTGTACGCCCATTTAGATATACAGTGAAGCAAATCGAGTCTATACCTGTTTCCATATAAACGTGTACACCACATTGGAGTCGTGATTCTTGTTTTTGTCAATCTGTATCGTTTTCTGAATTTGTGCTTTAAATAGACTTACTTTACTCAGTCCACTTGATCGCGTTCATCAAGAAGTCAGAACATTCAGACAACAGGCAATCAGTGATACAACAAATACAGTTAAAATTATGGAACAAGGTCGCACAGAATATCGAGGTGCATTGTTATGGATGAAAAACGTAAGCGAAGAGTTAGACCCAGATACATACAAACAATTGGAAAAGTTTCGGTGCGTTCAAGCACAGGTAATTTATATATGGATGTTTTGAATAATTCGATATACACCATTTAAATGTTGGCTTGATTTAGTCAGATTTTATCAAATAATTGGGCAAAGATAATAAAGGTTAATAGAACAGTCGTTGAATTGTTTAATATGAATGTTTTTATTTATTTATTTATTTAAACACAGACATTGATACAAGGAGGCACCAAATATGCACCACATAAATCAATCGATTTGTGTGAGGGCTGGGATACTGCTCGGGTGACCAAACCGAGGCAGGTGGTTTTCTTAGGGAGCCACAACCAGAGCCTTCGGCCTAAAGGTCTGATCCACAAGGCAGTGGAGCAACGTCGGAAGATGCAGTCCCATGGTAGCCAGTGACCAACAATTGGTTCATACGCCATTTGTTCCCTTAGTATCCTGGGGCTCATGTGCACCATTGGTTTGGAATCAGGGTTTTCCAACTCCCTTAGGAGGACTCTCCATGTCCATCAACTCTACTAAAGCTTTGAAAATTCGCTTTTCGTCTTCTCAATTTCGTAAACAACACTCCTCGCCGCGATAAGGCAGTGAGTAGGACTTCCCTGGGAGTGGTTGTATACGTGTGGCCATGTGAGAGTATTTCGAGTGGGAGAGCGAACTCTCACCCTCGGCTGTACCAGGGGATTGGGGGGGCAGGGAGAGGTTCTCCGTTTTTACATCGATTTCTCACTCCAATGCAGCTTTCTGACCTAAAGGTACATAAACGATTGTTATCAGGGGTTCAGTCGACTAGCGCTGCCTCTGCTCTGGCATTCAGTGCGACACTGGACATTAGTGCTACAAGGTCTCCAGGTTAGAGAAATATGGAACAAAAATTTCAAATTCGTCTACAGAAGAGGAGTTTCTGGCACTACCGGTCTTGAATGTGAGCCTCATACTCATAGTATACGTCAATAGTAAGCTTTTCCAATGATGGATAAATCTGTCTGTTGTCCGACTTTCATCAAAGCACGAAAGTTGGCGATAGTTCTTATTTAGGCTCGTAGCTTCAGAAAGCTGTGTCAGAGTTTGTTTATCCTGATAGAATCCATAAGATCGACTGTTCATCAGTTTGTGATAGTTTAGATAAGACAGGACTTTCAACAAAAATGAACTACTAATTGAGTCGAAGCATAGAAGTAAACAAAATAGAGATATGGGGAGACAGGAAGTTGAAACAATGTGGAATAAATTCATTTCTAATAAACTGCATATTGTGTGACTAGACAAATAGGCATAACGAACAGGACATTTCCATAACTGTCCATTATCATATTTTTGTATGTGGTAGGACACTGCCCGGACCCCCACTCCGAAACAGACCCCTAGTTCCTCATATATTCATATTGAGTTTCGGAATGATTTCCTGTTGTATCTTCATCCAACTTTTCGAAGGATTTTTCCCATACATTTCCTTTTTTTATTGTACTAATACTTATTTGTATTACTATTTCGTCTCACAGATAAAGTCATTGATACCTTCCCTAACCTATTCCCAGTCGTTCAAAATTTTCGATTATCACAGCAGTTATGAATACTATATAATTAATCAAATTTCCTTGTCATTAGGATTTGTTATTACATTAGTTGTTGGATAAATAGCAAAAGCTCCATCATCAGTCTTACTCACCAGTGTAATTATTAGAATATTAAATTTAATACAATTTAGCTTTTTGTCTCGCCATATAGTCTCTTTTTCTGCTCAGTAATTAAAGATAATCATTACCATTATCTACTATGAACCAGAAACTGTGATATATATTTTCCTTATATCTGTCCAGTTTATCTTATGTTTAACACGTTGTACAATATATCAGTGATGTATACGAAAAACAATACTTCTGAAATTCATCAGCCTACCACTTTGTTCAGTTTAGTGTTTTTCATAGTTGGAACAGTTTAGATGGTAGATGATTTTCAGCTTTTATTCTTCATTCAACCAAACGACGAAATGACAACAGAACACAAACCGGATATCATCTACAAAATAAATCATTCTAACTGTGAAAAAAACTACATCGGACAAGGTGGGCGTCCTCTTCATTTTCGTCTACACGGATATCATTTGATGGTCAACTCGCTTATATTAATTCATGTGGACAACCGTGAATATAATCGACTGGGAATGTGTTGAGATCTTGAAAAGAGAATACTAAAAGCACCGGAGAATTTTTAGAAGCTAGTCACTCAGGTCAATTAGTATTCAACAAACACATTGAAATCGATCCAATTTATCAACCAATCAGAAAAATCATGAACAGATATGGGACCAAGAATCGAATCAATGGGGGACACAATCAAAATAAAGTAGACAATGACAGGTTAAAGGTCAACAATAACCAATCAACATCGAGGTCTATAGGATAAATTGTGAACCATATGTGGTGAAATTCGAACACCACTTCTACCCGAAGTTTGTGCTGATGATGTCGTTCAGAGTAACGATGGAAGCTCCATGACCAAACCATCCAGCTCAGAGAATAAAACTCCACATAAATCATACACATGAGCCACAAATCTACTCCACCATTACAAAACAACTTATCAGAAACTCCAAAAGATTTAATAGCATTCAAAAGGTTCATTAAATTGTAAACAAATTCACGCTGTTATATCGCGTTGTAGTGGTCAGTTAAAAATGTGATATAGCCACTAACCCAAGTAACTCGATATCATTGTGCACTATGTTGAAGGTAGTCGTAAGCCAATATTTCTTACTTATCAGCACTAACCGATAAAACCTAACCCGTAACATAAAAAGGAAGTCACGCTTCCTATGAGCCAATATCCTTTTATGTTAGACTTAGTGATCAAAAATTCAGGTAAATCAGTCCCTATTTAACATAAACCAACGATGTTCTTATTGATTTTATTCTCCTTTAAGTTGTTTACTTTTTAAGCTTATCGATAATAAGCCCATTGTTCATCATTTTTATCATTTAGGTTCGTAAAGCAAAAGCATCATTCGATCGCCTAAAAGTGGACAGTATGCAAAAAGTAGATCTGTTAGCAGCCAGTCGATGTAATATGCTGAGTCATGTACTTGTCGGCTATCAGAATACTTTGTTGACTTTTCTTGAAAAAACGTCTCAGTAAGTTTTAGTTTTTCTTAATAAGTGGACGTGAAGCTTTTTCTGAGTTCAGAATTCTTAGTTAAATGGAATTTACACTAAATTTGAGAATACTACGTGGCATATCTTTTATCTTGAAAGTAATTCCAGAAAAATACCTAATTGCGTTACCTTAAACTTCATTATGTGCGTATGTTGTTCCATGCTATTCAAGAAAATTTCTGTTCTAGATGATCTTTCAACTCGCTAGTTCTGCTCCTGACACATATATGATTTTCAAGTACCTGGGTGGGTTTTATGTCCTTATACCCTCAAAAAATTCTTTGCAATTGGATACTTTTGGGTTCCCATTTATTTTGTGTATGTAGTTTTAAGAATAAATGACCATATTCAGAAAGCTGTAACTCCATTAGATACATTTAGTTCAGTTCAGCGGTTTAACTCAAGATCTTTTATTTACTATAGTAATGTTCTTGAAAGATATACTAGAATATGTGACATATAACTCTTATCAACAATTAACGATTTCATGCCATTTCAGCTCCCTTCGTCTCACTTTGAAAATGAATGTCGTTAACTGTATATAATAGTTACTTTAAACATATTTTACAACTCAGCTGTAACCTGACCACCATAAGCACATAGTCTTTACGTTATCAACCACGCCCATCCGTACCTGTTGCCTTTATGTGGTTGCCAGACTCAGCTGTCGTAATGATCCAATCGACCTATATTAGCTAGAACACTTTCTTTTAGGTCCTACCGTGGTGGGCAGATCAGTTGGAGAACAATGAAGTTAAAAGCATCAACTTAAGATCTAAGGGTGGGGTCACACTACTGACTGTACAGGGCTGTGATGGCAGTACGCTGTTTCCCCCCAAAGAACCAATACCTACAGCAATAATCTCTTTCTACAACTGAAAGAGACGTTAGGCGAGGTTAGTCCTAAAAACAGGACATCTACAGATTTTTGTCACCAGTGGTAAGGCCTTTGGGGTACGGAGGTAATACATCAAGAACTTCCAAAAAAGGAACGTGTGATTGGTGTCAAGTGGTTATTTCCTAGGCTCTGTGTCCACTTCCCGATTCGCCAAAACTTCTACTAATTCACTTCCATTTTCAGATACTTCATAAAGTATCCTTCCAAGGTGTAGGTGACTGGTAAATGAATTATTTATTTACTTATTTGAACACATAAATATTAGTACAAGAGGGCACAAAATATTAATGCGCCACACAAAACAATGAGAATGGGAAGAGAAAAAAAGAAGAACATTAACGACCAGATTAGTGTAAGGTAGTGTAATAATAATAACAATAATAATGGTAGTAATAATAATGGGGAAATGGGAAGGTTCAACCAGAAGAAATCTTTCAGTTAAGGAAGAAACAAACACTATTTTATGAAGAAAGTAAAAGAGGGTTACAGCAGGATCACCACTAGCTTCTATTCTGAGCCATATCTGATAACGTCTATAATCACTGTGTTGCACCATCTCTCGGACCCCAACCAGGGAGTAGTAAAGGAACAACAGAAGCCAGCCCTTTGCAGCTTTCTTTCATCCCACGACACCACGTCATATACTGACCACCTCTCCGCCTTTTCCAACCAGTCCCAGAGTCGGTAAATAATGCACGACGTGGAATTTTCTGGGATGACATTCGTAGAACATGTCCAAGCCACCGAAGTCGGTGTTTCAAGATGGTGACACCAATTGAATTATCATCTCTGTGCCCGAACACACGATGCCGAACCTCTGCACTACTAACATGGTGTTGCCACTGGATATCAGCAATCCTTCGGAGACAACGATGATCGAACACAGAGTCGTCTAACGTCCCCAACTCGGAGAAGCCAGGTTTCACAAGCATAGAGCAAAACTGCTCTCTCCGACGTGTTGTAGATCTGACCCTTTACAGCCAGACTGACATCACGAAGGCGCCAAAGATGGCCCAAATTGGCATAAGCCGCTCTGGCTTTTACTATACGTGCATTGATCTCATCACTCACACCACCACCAGCACTTATGCAGCTACCTAGATACACGAACTGCTCGACCACTTCTATCTGCTTTCCATCTAGAGTGAGTACAGGATTAGAGTCCTGCCAGTCTTGTAGAAGTACTTTGCACTTCGAAGGTGCAAAGCTCATACCGTACCTACGGACACTGATTGCCAACTGATTAAGTGTGGATTGCATGGCTTGGGTATTCTCGCATAGTAAGACAATATCATCCGCATACTCAAGGTCGAGAAGTCTTTCTCCAGGCAACAAATCCACACCGCCATTACTTACATCCATCGGAGCTGTTTCCAGAATTTCATCGATGGCAAAGTTGAAGAGGAATGGTGAGATTGGGCAACCGTGTTTAACCCCACTGCTTGAATGGAACAATGGAGAAAAGTGGTTGTATGCCCTCACTCTGCCTGAAGTGTTTTTATATAGGGCTTTTAGGATGTTAATAAACTTCTCAGGCACACCCTTCTTCAATAGACAATCCCAGAGAACAGTCCTGTCCAACGAATCGAAGGCAGCCCTGATGTCAAGAAACACTACGATTGTTGGCCTTTGATAAGTATGGCGGTGTTCTAACATTTGGCGGAGGGTGAAGATATGATCAATACATCCTCGACCAGAACGAAACCCAGCCTGCTCCTCGCGAGTCAATCTTTCTCGAGTTTTGAACAGCCTACGAAGTATGACCGATGCCCCTTCTAACAACCAGAGCAAAAATTTTTATAGGTACATGGAACGTTCGAACAATGTGGGAAACCGGGAAGACCAGTCAAATAGCAATGGAAATGAGGAGATACAACTTAGCAGTACTGGGAATCAGCGAAACCCACTGGACCCAAGCTGGACAGAAAAGGCTAGCTACGGGAGAGATGCTGCTATACTCCGGTCACGAAGAGGACAATGCTCCACACACTCAGGGAGTCGCTCTTATGCTGTCCAAATTAGCACGAAATGCACTTGTAGGATGGGAATCCCACGGATCCAGAATCATCAAAGCATCATTCAAAACAAAGAAGGAGGGGATCTTAATGAATATTATCCAATGTTATGCACCCACAAATGATAGCAACGACGACATTAAAGATCAGTTCTACGAGCGGCTGCAGTCAGTTATTGAGAAATGCCCAAGGAAGGACCTAACTATTCTGATGGGAGATCTAAATGCCAAAGTCGGAATAGACAACACTGGATATGAAGATATTATGGGACGACATGGACTGGGAGAAAGAAACGAAAATGGAGAAAGATTTGCAAATCTATGTGCATTCAACAAATTGGTCATAGGAGGCACAATATTTCCACACAAGCGTATACACAAGGCTACATGGATCTCACCGGACCACACTACAGAGAACCAAATAGATCATATTTGCATCAACAAAAAATTCAGAAGGACAATGGAAGATGTGAGAACCAGGAGAGGTGCTGACGTAGCTTCAGATCATCACCTAGTTGTGGCCAATTTAAAACTGAAGCTAAAAAAGAACTGGACAAGTGGACAAACAGCAATACAAAGGTTCAATACAGCCTTCCTTCGAGATACTGACAAACTCAATGAATTCAAGATAGCTCTCAACAACAGGTTCCAAGCCTTACAAGATCTACTGAAAGAAGAAGAAACTAGTATGGAGGACAACTGGAAAGGCATCAAGGAAGCATTGACTTCAACGTGTCAAGAGGTTCTGGGTCTAAAGAAATACCATCATAAGGAATGGATCTCTACAGAAACACTGGACAAGATCAAAGAAAGGAAGAACAAGAAGGCAGCAATAAACAACAGCCAAACACGAGCAGAGAAAGTCCAAGCACAAGCTGAATACATAGAAGCAAACAAACAAGTGAAGAGGAGCATTAGAGCCGACAAGAAGAAATATGTGGAAGAACTAGCAACGACAGCAGAAAAAGCTGCTAGAGAAGGAAATATGAAACAGCTTTACGATACAACGAAGAAACTAGCAGGAAAATACAGTAAACCAGAGAGACCGGTCAAAGACAAAGAAGGCAAGCCAATCACCGAAATTCAACAACAGCGGAACAGATGGGTAGAATACTTCGAGGAACTCCTGAATAGGCCGGCTCCAATGAATCCACCGGACATCGAAGCGGCACACACAGATCTTCCCATAGACGTCAACCCACCAACGAAGGAAGAAATCAGAATGGCCGTCAGACAAATCAAGAACGGGAAAGCAGCGGGTCCGGACAACATACCAGCTGAAGCACTGAAGTCAGACATCGAAGCAACTACAAACATGCTTTATCTTCTATTCAAAAAGATTTGGGAAGAGGAACAAGTGCCGATGAACTGGAAAGAAGGACACCTCGTCAAGATTCCTAAGAAAGGAGATCTGAGCAAATGTGAAAACTATAGAGGCATTACACTGCTGTCAATACCTGGGAAGGTCTTCAACAGAGTGTTGCTGAACCGAATGAAAGATGCAGTAGACGCCCAACTTCGAGATCAACAAGCTGGATTCCGTAAGGATCGATCATGCACAGACCAAATTGCAACACTACGGATCATCGTCGAACAATCAGTTGAGTGGAACTCATCACTATACATCAACTTCATTGATTATGAAAAGGCATTTGACAGTGTGGATAGGAGGACGTTATGGAAACTTCTTCGACACTACGGAGTTCCTGAGAAGATTGTCAATATTATCCGGAACTCATACGACGGACTACAGTGCAAAGTCGTGCATGGAGGACAGCTGACAGATGCATTCCAAGTAAGGACCGGAGTCAGACAAGGCTGTTTACTCTCTCCCTTCCTCTTTCTTCTGGTGGTCGACTGGATTATGAAGACCTCGACATCTGAAGGAAAACACGGAATTCAATGGACAGCTCAGAATCAATTAGACGATTTGGACTTCGCAGATGACCTAGCCCTCCTATCACGTACACATGAACAGATGCAGATGAAGACAGCCAGTGTAGCAGCAGTCTCTGCATCAGTAGGCCTCAGCATACACAAAGGGAAAACCAAAGTCCTCAAATTCAAAGCGGAAAACAACAACCCAATCACTCTTGATGGCGAAACTCTGGAAAATGTAGAGTCCTTCACATACCTGGGAAGCATCATCGATGAACAAGGAGGTTCAGATGCAGACGTAAAGGCAAGGATTGGCAAAGCAAGGACAGCATTCCTACAGTTAAAGAACATATGGAACTCAAAACAACTTTCAACCAATATCAAAGTGAGAATCTTCAATACCAACGTCAAGGCAGTTCTACTGTATGGAGCTGAAACTTGGAGAACTACAACAACAACCATCAAGAAGGTACAAGTATTTATAAATAGTTGTCTACGCAAGATACTCAACATCCATTGGCCGGATACCATCAGCAATAGCCTTCTGTGGGAGAGAACAAACCAACTTCCAGCTGAAGAAGAAATTAGGAAAAGACGATGGAAATGGATAGGACATACATTACGCAAATCTTCAAACTGCATCACGAGACAAGCCCTAACTTGGAATCCTGAAGGGAAGCGAAAAAGAGGAAGGCCAAAGAACACATTGCGTCGGATAATAGAAGCAGATATGAAAACGATGAATTACAACTGGACGCAGCTAGAAAGGATTGCCCAGGACAGGGTTGGATGGAGAATGCTGGTGAGCGGCCTATGCTCCTTCACGAGGAGTAACAGGCGTAAGTAAGTAAGTAAGTAAGTAACGAAGTATGACGGAAGCCAATAGCTTGGACGCATTCGGAAGTAGACTTATCCTCCGATAGCTGTTACAGGAACGACGTGAACCCTTTTTAAAGATAGGGCCAACTATCGACTCATTATATGACGTTAGTATACTCTAGTTCCCAGACCTTCGTAAAAAATATCGTCAGTTCCTTAGTCAGAAAGTCACCACTATCTTTAAAAAGAGCCAGAGGTAAGTCGTCTGGTCCTTACGCAAGCATTGCCCAATTTAAATTCACAACAATTGGCGACGGGGTGGAAAAAAAAACTTGAACCCTGTAATTGGACGAGATTCAGCCTAATTGTTTCGACCAATCAGCATCTAGATTGTCATCAGCGTCCTTGAGCAACATTGGTCATTATCCCTAAAGTTAATTTTCATTGCTGGTGTTGAAAAAAAAGACTACCTTTTCAGATCAATTACAGCTTCTACTTGAGCAACAACAGCAGTGCTTCAAAAATAGCCAGTTAAATTTTTTAGAAAATTTACGCACACGGATGATAAATCTCCCATGTTTCGGAGATGCAACAGAAATTGGCAAGTTCATTTCTCATCTGCAGACTGAGCTGGAAAACAACTGCAGAACATATGAAGCTGTATATAAAAGCTTCTGTGAATCCCGGACGACCAGTGATGTAAACGAGACAGTTATTCATGATCCGCCCAGCGATCCAGAAATGTCCAACTCAGAAGCATGCCCTGTCGTGGGTTCAAATCCCACTGTACCTGAAACATGTGAGGTATCCAGCCAGAAAATGAATCCTATGGATCAAATAATGGTCAGGAATTTAATACAAATTTCAAAGATTCTGTTTATTTTCGTGACCTATTATCTACTGGTGGAATCTTGAAGAGGTCTGATGAATATGTTTCACAAGAATCAAACCTTAATGACCTCATGTCTGGTGTTGCTAATCCCTATCATGTAGTCAGTTTTAGTGAAGCCTCTACTCAATGCGCGAAATATGCTTTAAATAAAATCAGACTAACTGTTACTTGGGTATATGAGGACCCAACATTATTTCGTGGGGGAGGATGAACCCAGAAAATTTCAAAATCCGGATATCAACTCTGGATCTTCAAAAAAGGGGGGTGTTGTGGATGCGAAGGATAGACCAATAATTATCATGTTAAGTCCAATAGTGTCCTTGGACTTTAAATGGACATTTCCTACTGGTCGATATCTGTCCACTTGTTGAATATGGTACAAAATGTTGTTTTCTATTTTTATGGTACGATGTGGTATATTTGGTTAGTATATAAATAGAGTATGTCTGAAATACAATGATTCATAACTCAGAGGCTGAGATTTGTGTTCTGGACTCAACTAGCTGGGATAGACAGGGGAGCGGGACCAATCGTAACTCTAGGTCGTCCATTACGTTCGTACGTGTCATTGAATCGGTCGATAAATACGCTGTTCTCTAGTTTTTCAGTCAAGGACACAACAATTAGCACAGGGTAAAAATCAACCACAACTTAAAGTCACAAAACATTACGTAACATCCTTCGTTTGTGGTCAAACTCACGGTCACCTGGATTAGACCGACGGGCTGCAATGAGTTGTAAGGAACCTGAAGAAACCCAGTGCTTATAATTGGGACGTTTCGGGAATCTGCAAGCGGCTTTACTCGCCATTTTGATGGCGTCGTGAAGTTGCAACCAATGCTCATCTATATATTTCGGTGGAAGAGTAGCTAGCCTAGAGGCTAGCTCAGTTCGATACTTACTAGCAACAGAAGTTGCAACCAACTTGCTGACACCAATCCTATCTGTTGTCCGACCTGCATAAGTGTGCGAACGTTGAAAGCAGCCAATTTGAATGGTGCACGTGGTTACAGAAAAAACTTTCAGTATTCTTATTCGGCGGAAGCATTAAACTTTCGGCCAGGCAGTGACTCGAGATCCTTTAGATAGAACAGAGTTTCCACCATAGGCGAGCTGCTGTATAAGTCGAAAAATAAGGATACATAAAGTGGGAATAAACGAAAGTGAATAAATGACGTAGTAAATAATAGTAATGTGAGTTGTTTGACTGTAAGTCTGAACGAGAATAGAATTTCAGTAAATATCATTTTCATTGTAATTGTGTGTGGGCTGTGATACTGCCCGGGTTCCCAGACGGAAAGAGGTGGTTTTCATAAGGGGTCACATCCCGAGCCTTTGACCTAAAGGTTTAATCCGCAAGGCAGTGGAGCAACGTCAGAAGATGCAGTCCCATAGTAGCTGGTGACCAACAATTGGTTCATATGCCATTTGTTCCCCTAGTATCCTGGAGCCCATGTGCACCATTGGTTTGGAATCAGGGTTTTCCAACTCTCCGTGTCTACCAACCCGGCTAAAGCACAGAATATTCGCTTTTCGTCCTCCCAACACCCCCCGCCGCGATAAAGCAGTGAGTAGGACTTCCCTGGGAATGATTGTATACGCGTGGCCGTGTGAGAGCATTTCGAGAGGGTGGGCGTGTCCATACCACTATCGGCCGTACCAGGGCATTTGGGGGCTAGGACGGTGGCTAGCAGTGGAATCCAGAACTCGCGTTTCGTCCTATTTGGGTCCCATCAGTTGGATGTTCCTACATCCCAGAGTTGATGTCCACTCCGGGACTCGAACTCAGTATCGTTCGCTTCAAACGCCATCGCGTAATCTACTTAGATACTGAGTCCTAAGCAAATGAAATCCACCCACACATTTTTAACAACTTTTGAGGCAACCTGGTTCACAACTGAAACATCTCGTGTATCATAGCTTAGCGATAATAAACTATACGTACTATTATTTTTATAAACAGGGTTACTTTTTCATCCCAGGTTCACAGGTGAGTAAAATTTACTTTTATGTGTACGCCGACAGCCAAGTTGAAAATAGTTTCTATACAAATACTATTTCTTCTTTTACATTTAAATAATATTTTCAATCCAAAGTAAACTACCTTTTTCAAAATGTTCTTATCACTAGTATGATGGTAGCAGTAGCAGAAAGTTTCAGAGGTTATCAATACTATGAATTTTCAATTCTTCGGCATTTGAGACCAGAAAGTCGTAAATTGGCTGGATATAAGAGCGATGATGAGAAAGATAGCGACAGGTAATTTTTGGTTGTTTTAATTTATAAGTAATAAAACATTTATATATCTGATGCAGTTATTCATAACTTACGTATGACTACCAAATAAGTGGTCTAAGTGGTACATTTCTTCCACTATATATATATATATATATATATATATATATATATATATACTTAGCGAGCTGGGAAGTGTGTAGCTCAGAACTTGAAAATTTTAGCCACTATAAGGGAATGACGACAAACGCATATATGCGAACAACTTTGAAGCATAATCATGGTGATACGAACTAGTTATTGTATTTCGAGACAACAGATCAAACCTAATTTGTTCACCATGAGATCCCATTATTCTGATGTATCATCCATCTAATAGTTCCTTACATAGACAGGTTCTGTTGGTCTGGAAGAGATTTGACTATTTTGATCAAACCCTCGAATTTTGCGGTAAATACGTTAGTTAACCGTGACCTAATGTGTCGAGGCACTGGTTCACGTCAATGTGATTGTTCTCTAAAGTTGCTTGCATATGGGTTTACTGTCATTCATTTATAGTAGCTAAAATATTCAAATTATGAGCTACAGACCTTCCGTCTCAATATTTGCAGTTGCGGCTCATTTTCACAAATGCTCTAAAGGTTCCAAACTATGGTTAAACAATTATTTAGATCTTTTTGGGTTTTCTTGCTCTTTCACTAAATATCATTAAGTAATAATAACTGTCTATGAGTAAATAGAAATTTCTCATGAATCACGAACTTAAATATTATGAACTGCACAATGAATCGCTTCAGTTATTTATCTAAACTAGGCGCTGGATAGGGTTATCCACAAATAAGATTTTTTTCTAACAGTTTTACTTCTTGCCCCAGTTATTATCAACTGGAGACCAAAGCAAAATGAACACTAGTAATTTTTAGCTGCTTCTGACGATTTTCGTCAGTATTACATCTCAGTTGTCACTAGAGGATGGAACCAAATGCCGCAAACTGTAATTTCTCTAATTATAAAAACATTTTGTACCATTTGTTTATACCCCTAACGCTCAGAGTATCTTGGATAGAAGCACTTTTAGTTTTAATGGAAATTTTTGTAATTTTCTTTGTTTTCGTCACAAACCAGCGAAAATGGTAACGTGAAAGCAAAGAAAAAGGGAGGTGATAATGAGGAAAGTGAATGTAGTTCTTCATCTAGTGATGTGGGGTATACTCATGATCAATCTTTGCGAAACTGCAAAACCTCGTGTATCTTATCTTCAATTCATTCATGCATCCCTAGTGGATATGAAGCTTTAAAAAGTGATGATTCCGCAGAGAGACAAAAAACCGTGACTTGGTAAATGTGTGTGCGTGTGTCTCTGTTTGTCTTTGAGTTTGCCTATTGACATGACGATCCTGAAAAATTTCCTTTAACTTTCCAGGTTTCAGATACTTGCAATTTATTTGGTGAAAGAATTTTTGTATTTATTCAAGGTTTTTGTTTGGGTTGAAGAGTTTTGCTCTCAGTTGTCACATTTTTCCTCATTTTGATGTTTAATTCAGACAAAACGTCATATTGCACTTACGGGTTTATCATTGGTGTCTTTTATTTATAATGACATGGCTGTAATCTTTCACTTTGTTTTCAGAAGAATTATTCTGGTTCTATTCAAAACTGATTTTTATCCACAATCAACTTAACCTCGAATATTCCATATACTGGGGTAGTCTGATTCTGTCTGGTTTCTGATGCAAACGTTAAATTCGTGTTGTCGATAGGATATTCATTTTATGATTGATATCCCGTCATTCAGTACATCATTAATTTTCTTTCAGTACGAAGTATGTAGGAATAGTTTGGTATAATTAGATATTTATTAGTAAGTTTCCGATATTGAGCAGCAGAAAGATGATTCGGTAATTAAGACATTTGAATTTCAAGCGCAAAGTAACAGGTTCGAACCCCTATTTACCTGGTTTGGTTTGGGCAACTGAGTGATATCACTAACGCCTGCACTTAGAGTGTGACTAAATACATGAATCTGTACATGGTAAATGAGTTTAAGAATGCTGTGTATCTGTCATATATTAATGAACTAATGTATGGTTTCAATAGTTGAAATCATGAGTCAATTGAAGCTAGGCCACCATGGAAAACCTGGAAACACTAGACGGCCGTTTCGTCCTGCTGTGGGACTCCTCAACAGTGCGCATCCACGATCCCGCTTCGCGAGATTCAAACCCGGCAGCTATCATTTTCATGATTGGAATCATTATCTCAACTATTCAAATTACTATAATATTCACAAAATCCCTTCTAATATATAATTATTGATGAAAGTACGCAGTAGGTAAACTAATTCAGCTAAATAGTCATGTAACATACAAACATCATGATTTTTCGTATGTATTTTATCCCTTACTATGGATTCACGTTTCACAATGTAGAGGAGAAAAAAATCCATTTATCCCTTAACTTTTTAAGCATGCGAAAAATATGTTATTGGGCAAAATGATGAACTCATGCAAATCAGTAGCAGATTAGTGTGTTCACATAACATAGCTTCAACTAATTGGTTGTACACTTCATCTTTTTTAACCTAAATAGCCGAGTATTATCCGCACACCTCACACAAACATTGTGGCTCAAATACACATTAATTAGGTCGTACTTGGTGACAATTTGTGGAAATGTTGATAATAGTCAAGTCAACTACAATTCCCTCTAATGTGACGATATGTACTGCGGTATATTATTGGTATCAGATTATTAGTTAAATTAAACAGACTTCAATACAGCGAAGTTAATTAACTTTGTCGGGGACCAGAGTGGATTACTTAATCACCTCATCATCAGTTAATGCACCAGAAGATTTGTTTCATTTAGATTTGCTTAGCAGTCAATGTCAAGTAGTTTGGTTTGCATGTCCATAGTTTAGGAGTGTTCAATGTCTCCTACTAAAAATATATTCATACTTATTCACTTTTTTATTTTTAAAATACAGGTTGGACAGTGGATTTAACCAAGTTGAATTAAGTGATCCAGCAATTATGAATTCTGATGACAATAACCATAGAATACATCAAACAAAATTAACAGATGAAGAAGAATTTGATAAAAGATTAGATGAAATTTTCCTAGAAAATCATTGTAATAATTTCGACTTTAATTCAGATCAATTTAAATTAGCAGGGAATCAAACCAGTTTTGCTGGAACTGAAGACAACAATAACATTAGTGGTAAGGTTCATTTTTAGTACTATGTTTTAGTTTGTAAAGTTGTTCAAACGCTTCTCAGTGTCAGTAAAACGTATTTTCTGTAAAATTTGATGTTTTAATGATAAGTTATGAGATAAAGCTATGAACGTTCATCGTCTTGTGTGATTGGGTTATGTATTACGTACGTCCAACCATCTCCCACTATGACTCTCAATGGTTGATGGTGTAGAAATATTTCGAAATGAAGCTAAGGATAGCCTTCCTTCTCGAGTTAAATTACTTACGCCCAATGTTTCTTAATGCAACTGATGTTGTTACTACTACTACTACTATTTTGGGATTTGTCTCAATTTCATATCTCGAAATGCTCTCACATGGCCACGTGCATACAACCACTGACAGGAAAGTCCTACTCACTGCTTTATTGACATGATGGAAAGAAAAGTCAATTTTCGATTGATTTACTCATCAGTTTTGTTCAACATTACTTCCGTTTTGATTCAATGTAATGATTACTCAATGTATTATTTGTTTCTTTTCTCGTATATTTTATTCTGTATAATATGTTATATTCTTGTATTCCTTTGACATGAACTATGCTTAGTCTGTTATATTTTATAACTCTAAGTATTTTTCATATATGTGATTTCATCCTAATTATTAATCGAAATTGGTGTGCAATCAATATATGAATGAGTGTATTTTCTACTAGAGTCGTCATCGTCATAGTGCTTTGGGTTAATAAATCATCACTTATACCAGTCTTTGTATTCTTACTTTCGCATCGTGGGAGTTGCAGAGGTCCCTCGTTCCGAGTATAAGTGATAAGCGTTTCCGACATAGCAATCAGCGACGACCAGATACAAAAAGTAGCATTAAAAGAGCCGAGACAATAAGCATTCAAACGACAAATTATAACACTTGTCGTGGCACCGGTGTTGTTTACGAAATTGGGAGGACGAAAACGAATGTCCGGCACTTTAACCGGGTTGGTAGACACGGCGAGTTCACCTAGGATAGTTGAAAAACCCTTATTCTAAACCAATGGTGCACATGGGCTCCAGGATCCTAAAGGAACAAATGGCATATTAGCCTATTGTTGATCATCGGCAACCATAAGACTATCTCCTTACGTTACTTCACTACCTTGTGGATTAGACCTTATGGTCAAAGGCCCAGGGAGTGGCACTTAAGCAGTATCCCAGACCTCACATAAATCGAGTGATTTGTGTGTTGCATATCTATTTTGTGCCTCCGTGTACTAATGTTAATGTGTTTAAATAACTAAATAAATACCACTTTACTAATACGGAGTACCAATTTGAATGAATGCATATATGTGGTTCTGTGTCGCTTACAACTGTTCATCTCTTAGTCATTTAATTAAAATTTTCCTACATGCTGTTTCATCATTCAAATAGTTACTCTTGTTGTATGCGTAATAACTATTATGAATATATGCTTCAACTACCTTGTATATGTTTTGCCCATTTTCGCTCCTACTTTGCCATAATGTTTTAGGGACTGATGATTTTGTTCGGTTTAACAATTTTAGGTCTGATTAATGAATCTAGTGAGCAAGTCCCTGCTGATCATAGAGATTTGTTCACTGATCTGTTTCTTAGTGATGCAAAAGATGATAGATTTGCTGGACACCTTTCTGGAGTGGATACTCGTAAGTTTTTTATGGTAATGAGACAGATTTTTTTATTTCCTAAAATGTCCATTTATGCCTTTACTGTGTAAACAAGTAGAGTACTGGTTTTTAAACTTCATGATATCTTCCTCGTACGTGGCGGGAGATAATTCTATAACTTTAATCGCATCATCAATACCGTACTTTCAGTGATACTATGCGTCCCTAATTACGACATATGCGGAAGATCAATTTTAATTTCGTATATCGATTTAGGGTAGTTTTCGTCCAGTCAACTCCAAGCATTTTGTTGTATTAGATCATTCATAAGGAATTCTATTCATTAACTTTCAATGTAGTTCACTTATAATTTGTCATTTGATTTTCACTTTATTTTCCTTGTATTGGTTATTTTACTATGATTTTGTTTTCAAAGACAATTAATTACACAGTTGATAAAACTCGGTATGTAGTGTTCATTGGATTTTGATATATAACTGAATTAACTTGGATGCAAATCTTGAACTACATCTACTTCGATTGAATATGCTTGTTAATTTTAATAATTGTCAATCAAGTCATTACTTGAATGCAAAATACATATAGGTTAATTAATATAATGACAGACCACAAACTGATTTCTTGAGGATTTAGTCTATACAAATGCAATAGCACTAAAAGTTCATTAATATAATTCATTTTCAATTAATATATGGATTTGGAAATTGATATGTGTCCAAAAACGTTTTTCGAAAGTTTAGTTTCTCTAACGTTGATGATATATCATTTGGTTACTCAGGTTATCGTAACAATGAAGGGTATAATGGGTCATCCATTGAATCGTAATCAACGTAGAAACTGGCACAAATTCGCGTTGAACATACCACATTAACACAGAGAAATTTTTCACACTGAGATTTAATCTTCGCCCACAGATGAATTTCTTGAATATGTCCCTATGCTGTCTCATACAGATTTGGCAGGAATATAGTCAAAACATAACTATGTGTATAACCAACAATTACGATCTGTTTCTAAGATGTAGATGAATACTTTTAGCACAAAAAACACTAAGTGGTAGGCGATTACAAAGAGAACAATAAACACACGCAAACCGAACAGTTATTTATTTTATTTATTTCAACACATAGATAATGGTACAAAAAGGCACCAAATACATATGCGCCACACAAATCTCATTCAATATGTGTGAGGGCTGTGATACTGCCCGGGTGCCCAAACCGAAGCAGGTGGTTTTCTTAGGGGGCCACACCCCGAGCCTTCGACTTGAAGGTCTGATCCACAAGGCAGTGGAGCATCGTAAGGAGATGGAGTCCCGTGGAAGCCGGTGACCAACAATTGGTTCATTCGCCATTTGTTCCCGCAGGATACTGGAGCCCATGTGCACCATTCGTTTGGAATCCGGTTAAAGCGCCGGACATTCGCTTTTTGTCCTCTCATTTTCGTAAACAACACCCCCGCCACGAGAAGGCAGTGAGTAGGACTTCCCTGGCAGAGGCTATATACGCGCGGCCGTGTGAGAGTATTTCGAGAGGGAGAGCGGACTCTCCGCACTCTCGGTCGTACCAGGGCATTTGGGGGCTTTTGGGACAATAAAATAAACCAATAACAAGGGTTATGTTTATACTACTGGTGCAATCTCATGACTGGTCATAATAATAGCCAGTCAGCGACTAAATGAGTCTTAAGTGGTAGGCGTTTAACCCAGATATTATTGTTTGATTCACTCTCATCGATCGTGATTAACAAACCCACAGGTTCTATCAATTTGCTATTATTATATAAGTTACGAATATGTTATAACTTATTAGATGAGTTAGATCGAGGTCATTGAATATCATATGATTATCCTTATCTACTGCAACTCAGGAAAACATGTTTTCGAGTTTTATCAACCTAATCATCAACGTGTGCGCTTACTTTTGTAACTGGTGGTTTACAGATTTTGATAACATTAAAATGGTATTGGTTGTTAATAGCAGTTAAATATCCCATTTTATTAAGGGTACCAGATATAAGTAGTACCACTCGGGGACTAAAATTGACCATTCAGTCTCAGTAACTTTTGTCCGAATTCTGAACAACATGAAACACTGCAAAATTTAAAAAACATTAAAATCCAGTAACTTCAACAATTTTGCATTTGAACTACCAAAAATGAGTTTGAGATATTCATTCAATCACAGCTTGGTAAATTGAGGGTCATTACAAGCCTTCGTAAGGATTTGATCTTTCCAGAAAACCTATGATCAGTTTTCTAACACAATACATAAATCTTCAAAATACTTTAAAAAAATTTAATTCTTTTTTTGCTTGTAATAAAGGTCCTTTCAACTTCGGAAATAAAGACGGATTCACTAATGATTCGGAAGCCGTCTTTAGCGATTTGAATCAGCCTTGCCAAAACGCTGATTTTGGACCGTTGCAGAATGTAGGGTCGAAAGTAAGTGAAATATTGTTCAACTTCTCTATACGATAGTCTACTTCGTAGGTATCATTACCAAGGTTTGATTTGATAATTTGGAATAACTTGAGCATTGGTTAGATTGTTATAAATAAATAATAGATTTGTAATGTCTCAATGAGTAGAAAATTAGATTTTCTGACGTTTCGTGACTTAGTGTAAGGCACTTCTTCAGAGAATAAATAACCAAATTAAAATTAATCCAAGTTTAAATAGTACAACGGGACAGTTTAAACTTGGATTAATTTTAATTTGGTTATTTATTCTCTGAAGAAGTGCCTTACACTAAGTCACGAAACGTCAGAAAATCTAATTTTCTACTCATTGGGATATTACAAATACATTATTTATTTATAGTCTACTTTGTTAATAACTCATTAGCTTGGTCAATATTATGTTCAGCATCAAGAAGAGTTTTTTGTTAACATTAGTTATTTGATTTAAGAAAATCCAATGTCTTTCTTTAATTTGAAGAGTAATTTTATTTCCAACTGAAAACGAATGGAAACAGTTGCTTTGTTAGTGGGATATAGATTGGGTTGAAACATGTTCTGTGCAAGTTTGTGTTGGAGCATGCTGATCAATTGTTTCTTAACCAATCAGTGGTAGCAGATACTTTGGAAAGTCTCTAGAATCTCCTTGTGTAAAATTATAAATATTACTTTTTCTTACTGTGATTCCTACTTCCATTCAACTTTGCTTATTTGTAACATCATGTTCCTGTTCATTCGTGTTCGGATTTGGAGATTTTTCGAGTAAAGCCTCCAAAGAATGCTAAGCAATAAGAGTAGCTGGGTCGTAATTAGAGAAACCAAACCATGCTCCCTGCAAAGTAACATGAAGTACCTGATAGTGACATGTTTCAAATTAGTTTTCGTCATATTCTCCTTATGAATCAGTAACATGACATTAACTAGGTAGATGAGAAAAGTGCCAAATCTTGTATAAGCATAACGAATAACGACTCCTAAATAAAATAGGTGTCACGTTGTATCTTGATTTACAATGGGTTTTTTTTAACTCTGATACTATTCTTTGGTGAAAAATCCCCTTTAACAAGTGAGTGTCTGATATATTATTTAAGTTAGTTATTTTAACATTCATTGAATCTAACTGAATTCATTCGAACTGCATATGCTTTTATTTTCGCCACTATTTTGATATGATTAGGATACATTCAGGACACCAATACTTCCTTCACACTTATTAGAACAGGAACTCCAAAATTTATTCAACCCAGGCTCTTCTAATTTAATTGGTACTCAATCGATGAAATCATCTTTGGAGTGTACTAACGTGAATACTTCTGCATTTAGTAATAATTACAACCAATCCGAACAACAGTTAAAAAAAAGTGAAAACTCTCTGGGTACCATTTCAAATGCCCCAAAGCCATTATCATCCCAACAGGTAACTGTGTCCATGTTTTTTTATGTAACTGAATCGGCTCCTCGGTAGTTAAAACATTAAGTTTGTAGATAAATATTGTGGTTTAGAACCCCGTTCTATCTAGTTTGCTTTGGCAAACTGATAACTGTCACTCGTCCTTACAAACTTTCACTATCTCACAGCTGAATCCATACCATACTTAAAATAAAGTTCTACGTTTGGAAATCCAAACCGGTGATCGGATAGTATGAAAAAGTCTTTTGTTATTTGGTAACTACTGATTACATGTCTTTTTCTAGTAGCTTATTTACTCATTAGCTTTTTGGAGAAATGACATGGCATTTATCTTGCCCCAGTTGTTGTCCAACTGAAGGTGAAAGATGACACTTGTGTATATTCAAAACACAAGTTGAACTAAGAAGAATTTCTTTCTAATTACTTCCTCATCAATACTCTATACTAATGTATAGATACTAGACTCGATCAAAACCAGATTTTCATGGAGTTTTGTTCTCTGAGCTGGATAGTTTAGTCATAGAGCTCTCATCGTTCTTCTGAACGACATCATCAGCACAAGTAAGGAAAATGGGCTTACGACTACCTTCAAGATAGTGCACAATTATATCGAGTTACTTGGGTTAGTGGCTATATCACATTTTTAACTGACCACTACAACGCGATATAACAGCGTGAATTTGTTTACAATGTAATGAACCTTTTGAATGCTATTAAATCTTTTGGAGTTTCTGATAAGTTGTTTTGTAATGGTGGAGTAGATTTGTGGCTCATGTGTATGATTTATGTGGAGTTTTATTCTCTGAGCTGGATGGTTTGGTCATGTAGCTTCCATCGTTACTCTGAACGACATCATCAGCACAAACTTCGGGTAGAAGTGGTGTTCGAATTTCACCACATATGGTTCACAATTTATCCTATAGACCTCGATGTTGATTGATTGTTGTTAACCTCAAACCTGTCATTGTTCACTTCTTTGTTTTGGTTGTATCTCCCATTGGTTTAGTTTTTTGTCCCATGTTTGTCCATAACATTTCCGATTGGTTGATAGTTTGGGTCGATTTCAATATGCTTGTTGACTGCTGATTGACAATCTCGTAAACAACACCGCGGCCGCAAGAAGGCAATGAGTAGGACTTCCCTGGGAGTGACTGTATACACGTGGCCATATGTGGGCACTTCGAGTGGAAGAGTCGACTCTCCGCACCCCAGGCCGTTTTGAGAATGGTTAGAGATGCTTAACGTATATTATTGTAAATATGTGTTCACACAGTAAGCCATTAAACTATTATTGTCCAATTTATACAGATCTGACCTATTCTTACTAAATAAATCGAGTGTTCAGTTTGCAACAAATCAATCTGCCTACCTAAAATCTAATGGTTATATGGTATCAGTGACTAGTGCTTCGTCTAATAACATATGGTTAGTCAATTTTGATTTTCTGTTATAACTAATATTCGTTTTGCGGTAATAATTAGTTATGATTCTTTAATATCTTCTCACCACTGTGTTTTTTTCGTTTATACTTTGAATTTACAATAGCCCACTAATCTAGATGCTTGGTTAAATCTGTTTTCTGATATCGGACCAATCGGTAATCCAGATACAATATCGAAAAAGGCTGGTCAAGTCTCTGATGCCTAGAAGTACGCTTGAACATCATATTGTTGTGGCAAATTGTATTCGTTTATACGGATTTTTTCCTCCAATTACACATTAGTTACACCTGTGATGCGTGTATTTCCTTTGTTACTGTGTTAATTCATTTATTATATTTATGCCTCCTTTGGTTTTTGTCTCTTGAAAATTTTATCATAATATATCTTGGAAACTCAAATTTCTGGTGTTAACTGTGATAGTTATTATAACGTTACGCAATCAGAAGAATGCTTCCATGTTTTTTTCACCATTGTTTTACTAATTTGGTAAATATTAACACCAATTAATTACATTTTGTTTATTTTGCTTTCTGTAGTAAAAATAATATTTCTCACAACATTAATAATTATATGATCCCTCTGGTGTTTGATCATACTTAGCGGTTGATGAAGAAGCTAGTGAATATGTGTTTCACATATATCATAGTGAGTGTTGAACTTCTGGTAAGGTTTGTTACGACATATATTTGAACTCGCATCTCTGACATCTCGCGACATAGTCTACAAAATTTAAGAGCGGACTAGGACCCAATTATTACCACAAACTCCACTAACGAGTTACAACAAAAACTCAAGATCCGCACCAATCAGGTAGCTCAACCTCTATTCTGGAATATTCCTCCTAATGCATGTGTCGACGAAGACTCCGGAACCGAAAACACATGCCGTTATCTTGGAACTTACGGCAGTCAACCGAAGGAAAGCATTCTCCCTGCAACTTTACGAACACGGTAGGGAAACTTTAAAGCTGACGATTGGTGACTTCGGTCGCCGGCCACAACTCCGAAGACGGTTGTTTGCTATATGTCACAGATAAAAGGACTGGAACACAGTTTTTAGTCGATAATGAGATTAAGGGTAATGTAGTACCGACTGCTAAACTTGAAAAAAATCACCTCATACTAGAAATGCAAGCTACAAATAGATCAAAAATTAAAAAGTGTGGAAATAGACAGCTATAATTATACTTCGGTCACGATTGGAATTTTTCCTGAAGCTCCGTCACATCCGATGTCCTAGTTTCCACAGTCGGCATTGAATTCTTGCAATCCCATGAAATTCTCGTATAAGTTAGAATCCAGAAATTTGTATTTGCCAATGATAACTGAAATAAAAATATATCCGACGCGACTTTCATACAAATATTGATAAAACGTCACTGTGAGAAGGATAAGTATACCACTTTGCTCGAACAGTCCCCATACTTACTACAGCTGAGTTTCAAATGTGACAAACTGATACTGTCGCACACCATATTAAGACGGAGGGATCACAAGTGTTTGCACCTCAAAGACCTCTCATCTTGCTCTCACAAAGAACAAACTAAACAAGATGATAAAGTTAGGCACTATAAGCTCTTCCGATAGTTCGTGGGCATCGCCACTCCATGATAGTCATGAAGCACTCTCCCCATTTTAGACCATGGGGCGACTATAGAGCCCTTAACAATCGGACTATGCCAGATAGGTTCTCTGACATGACTTTACTCATGGTCTATCTGATACAACGATTTTGCAACTCGATTTCTTCCGTTCATATCATCAAATTCTAATTCATCCAGATGATGTTCTTAAAACACCTACTACTACTCTTTCGAGCTACAAGAATTGTCCGCGTGCTTTTAGGGCCAAGGAATGCTATACAACGTTTAGTGTTTTATTGTCCAAGTAATATACAACTTGCAGCATGTATATGCTCCCATAGATGACCACGATCAAAGATGAATGCAAACACCCAGCTCATGTAAGAGTGCTCTTCAAGAAGCTAAGCGACTATTGATTAGCGGTGAATATGTGGTTGTAAGATAATCTCCCAACTTCTTGCTTCATCTACTGTATAACTAAGGTATCAGACCAGTTCCTGAAGAAACATGAGCCATCAAAATATCCTATAACCGATTCATTCAAGACACTACGATCCTTCCTAAAGGTGAATAAATTTTACAAACGTCTCATTCCGAAATGTGATGACACAGCGAAACCGCTAACTGATTTATCGAGAGGACGCGCTAGATCATCTATGATGGCACCACAAGCAATTTAAATATTTAAACAATTGAAGAACGCCTCAAGTGCATAAGAATTGTTTGCCCAGTGAAAGGCTGATGCATCCATAGCAGTAATGACCAGGACCTCTAATGTGGCAGTAGGTGTATACCTCAGCAACATGTTAACCAACAATTGCATTCCCCCACATGTTCCTCTAAAAAGCTAGACACGACAAAGGAAACATAGCACTTTCGGTGGAGAAATTTTACCTGTCTACTTAGCCATTAAACACTTCCGATACATGTCGAAGGGCAATTCCTTCACGATATTTACTGACCATAGATCTCTAACCAAAGTCTTGATGTACAAAATTCGTCAATTAGAACCCATTTCACAGTTTGCAGATAACATACGTCATAAAGACGTCAAGGAAAACTATGCGGCAGGTGTGTTGTCTCTTCAAATCGTGATATGTTGTCCAGTCATAGCAAAACATCAAAAGCTCGACAAACGTTTGTAACCTATGGCATTCGCTAACTCATTTGCTAACATGCATAAACAGATTCACGAAACGAGTCATAGCTGTCACGTTAAAAGACATGTTACAGGAGAACTGAAGACATTTGGTTTAGTAAAAACTTTCATACTGAATATTATTAATTTCCGTCAGTGATGGAATGCATTTTGACAACTGCAATAAGTGTTATCACGGCGTGTGCTACAAGCCATTATCTCGTGGGCTGTGCGAAGCATGTTGTTCTACAAGTCTCTGTGGATTCTAGAGGCGATTTAGCTACTGAACAAAGCTATAAAATTGCCGTCAGATAAACAGGCAAAAGTAGACGAGCAGAATCCCGCCTTCAAGGAAATAACAAGGGTTATCATGAGCCCATCTCTGGATTTGAATGAGACCATGGAGGTGGACCCCATCAGGAAAACAGATAACAAGCATACCGATGTAGGCATTGTCACGAGAAAGAATAAAAAGTAGGAAGAGAAGAAACTAATTAGAGACAGTATTAAAGTAAATGAATCTACGGTTTTATTTTCGGACTCACATGTCAACGCAAAACAGACTATGGGGAGAAGAGTTTGAGCGATGTAGAGGTTGTGATCAAGAGACGAAATAATGTAAATTATTTGCTCACGGTCACACTCATGTAAAAAAAAACATGACCTCTGCGTCAGACGCCAAGTTGGAATCAGATCGCAGAAAGGAAAAGACTTCAGGAATTAAAATTCTACAGCGTGTTAAGACAGACCTCGCTGAAAGGTCAGTCATTTTTCGTAAGTTAAAAAAAGCTTCCGAAAAGGAACTAAAAGCTAGATTTGAGAACGATATCAGCCACATTAATTCCTTAATAAACAAGCTGCTCCCAGAAACAGTTTCAAGAGTTAGCATCTGTAAGCTTTATAGAATAGGATAATTGGTTGATTCTGAAAGTACTCAGAAAAACAGCCTCTTGAAGGTTACCTTTAGTTTGGCTGAAGAAAGAAACCTGATACTGGGAAACTCACGGAATGTACTTCCGTGAGTATGCCAGCCTTGTTGATCGTATTAAGAAACGATCGGCAGAAGCAGAAATAAATGAGCGCCTCCGAAACGATAAAAGAAACCTCGTACTTAAGGGTTATTAAATTGTAGTCAGAGAAAACGATCCCCAAACAGTTCTGTATGTTAAGGGAAAGTTCTCCACAGATTCAAAGGTGTTCTGTACGATTGCTTGAAGCCCAACAAATAAAATGGCGAAGCTCAAGATAGTGCTGGATATAGAAAAACCGGATGTGATTGCTGTCTGAGAAACATGGTTACCATCAGAAGTGATTGATGACTTTTTTATCCAGTAGATCTGATAGATTGCATCGTAGGGGAGGCGTGGTTATCCTTTACACTCAAAGTACCTTACCCATACGACCTGTTGAAACAGTGGCACATGATTCAGGGGAATGTGAGCTGGTGCGTTGCAGGATCAAATGTAGACGACGAGATATTGAATTAGTTGCGGTATATCGCAGTTCAGAATATGTAGTAGATAACTTCCTCCTAAGTAAACTTAAGTCCTGGTGTAACAGAAGTGAAAGCCTTATAGTAGGCGACTTTAATGCACCGTATATAATCTAAGTAACTTAGAGGTAGGGTCATTCACAACGTTATTTGATTGCAAACCGCTGGATAACTTAATTGCACTGGCTTTATTTCAGCAAATTAGACATCTCAACAGATATGAGTTACGAAGCTCCCCGTCTTTCTTGGACTGTTTTCACACACGGTTATGATGTCGGTCAAATTACTTCCCTAACACCTTCAGGGAGGAGTGATCATGCAGTCATACCATTCACGATTACGGATGGAATAGCCTGTTAAACAGTTGCGCCGGCCCATCCCAACATATAGAAGACAGACATGAAGGCAATAAAATCTGCTACAGCGGCTAGGTAATTGACTCAGGGGCATCAGTAGAAGAGACATGTACTCATTTCAGCCAGTTGTACAGTTGGGTAACTCAACCATTTATAAAATGGCAGCCTCGAAGAAGAAGCACGACCACTCCTAGACTGGCCGGGATATTTAACGTTTACTTAGACAAAGCAAGAAACGTTGCCACCAGCCTTGGCACAGCAAGTAATATGGAGCGCTACAGGTCGATAAGACATAAGTAAAATCCAGGAAGGTCAGAGAAAATATGAAATGCAGTTGGTCTGTTTTGTAATCATGCAGCCCAACATACTATTCTTGTATGTAGATTACAGAACAAGGATGCAGTATTAGATTACAAAGCTAATTAAGGAAGCGAGTGGATCTGAAATGATAGAGGACGATCAGGAAATAGCAGAGGCTATGACAATCAATTTTGGGGCAGTTTTGCACTCAGGAACCTCTCCTATAAGAACTAGACCCTAATACAAAACCAATAAACCGTCTGCTCGCCAAGAAATTTTATCTAGATGATGCACTTAAATCTCTTAGTACTTTAGATACGGGAAAGCCAACAGGAGC